GGCAGTGCAGGTATGTAGGTTTGTGTAGATGTATCAGTTAATATAAAATTTCAGCTTCAGTGGACATCAAATCGCAACATCAACAAAGCATTGCTCAAATCATTAACCCCTTCCCACACTTACGGTCTAATATAATAATTCCCTCAGCAGCAATATGTAGCAGTGTCATGTACATAAATATGTATGCATATAGGAGCTGATAGTCTTGTTTGTGATATACTAGCATTATTAGCTGTTATGTTTTTCTTCTTATTAGTTGTGTAGTTTTTAAGAATAACGAATGTATCGCTGGCTCACCAATCTAACCGCTAGCGCTATTATGAGCAAAGGAACACGAAAAGTAAAAAGGGTAAGAAAATGCGAGTAAGTCGACTACACAATAATGGCAGATTAAAAAATATATATATCTACTTACATACATACGATTAGGAAAAACTACATGCGAAAAACAACTTACGACTCCCCAGAGAGACACTTACCGACTACATTATGCGCTCAAGGTCTGAAATGCGTTAAACTACAAGGATATTTTTGATGTTGATAAGGATTCAAGTTAGTAGCAAGGAAAACGTATTTCTTACACACCTACTAGCGGTAATGGTTGCCAATTGAGGCTCGTTGGCGGAGTGGGAACGTACTATGAGTTGGGTATGCCGCTGTGCGCGATCCAGCAACAAAAGAACTATTTCTTTGCTCAGCAGGGTGTAAAATTAAATACTTGCTGCCACTGCTTATGTCACTACTTTCATGGAAAAAAGCTTAAGCAAATGTCTGCTAAATCAGAGCTAAAAAGTGCAGAGATTCAGTTGGTGGTGGGACGTTGGGTGTAATAAAAGAGTTTAGTTTTTTAACTAAGTACTTATTACTCATTAAATATATGTAAATATACATACAAAATTTATCCCACATCTCCAGCTGCTGCAAGCATTAAAGATCTAAAGCAATACTCAGCAGTTTTAAAAAGTTGGCTTAAGACACATTGCGATAGTATTAACATAGCGGTGCCGCTACAGATTCAGCGCAGCGAAACCCTGTTGAGGCCTTAGCCACTTAGGTACTTAACCAGCTTGAGTGATTTTAATTGATATAATTTTACGCTATATGCGTACCTCAGCGCCACCTGCTGGTGTGTCTCGGCCGTGAATCCTCGAAAGGCTGTCCGTATACTGTTTATGGGTATTGCGCTAGATGAGAGACTTAAATGAAACTCGCATCTTGAGAGAATAGTTGGTAAAGCCACACGGCCCATGTGGGTCTGCAGAAGACTTTTTGGAAGAAAATTGGAATAGGGCTCATGGCTCATTGTGTGATATGCATTTATAGCATGGTGGCAGAAGACCCTGAAGAAAAACTGTCATACTACGCCTTAAGAATCTGTAATTTTTTTTGGCACGTCTGTGTGTCACTGCTTCATTAAGAACGTGTTCATATCGTTTCTAGGATGGACTCCTCTCAATATTTTTTATCCATCAAACAGCAGATACGCGGGAGCTATCTAAAGACGGCCTTTTCATAAAACGCTTCATGCAGGTGTTCTTGGGAAGATACTAGGGTTGGAAATATGTGGTTTGACTGAAAGTTCCAAGTGATCATCTCCGATCGTGAAGATTGGGAAAATGGGCTCCCTGCACTTGATCTAAGATCCGCTACTTTCTGGGATTTGTTTTGCTTATATGTTTTAAACTACATCAAACTATTTTTATATAAAAACATATAACTATGTACATATGTATGATATTGTAAATGTTGGTACTTTGCGACTGACTAAGAACGTTTTTTTGTAATTTAGTACAAAATTGGTAAACTCATTTATCATCCAATAATCATCAAATTTAACTTGATTTCGCAATATGGGTGTCCGGCGAATGGAAGTATTTAGTTGAAAAATAAAAGAAACAAATTACACTTATTACATATTTACACACTCAGAGATTTCGTTAATTCAGCAAGGAGGGTGAGGCCAATCCAGTTCCATAAATATAAAAACATGTAATAAAAAATCAGACTACGGCAAATCCTTTATATTGGTGATGAAGTCAATCAAGTTATACATTTTTTTATTAACAATTGGCTTAGTTTTTGGGCATTATCAGATTCATACATATTTATTTCCTTTCAATGGTACCCAATATTTTTATTTCATACAATATTGTTCACTTCAACAAGACTAAAATAAGTCGTGTAGTAGACCTACATACCCTCTTATAGGGAACACAACTATTTGAATCAGTAATGTTGATTCTTAGGCACAAATGTGTTATAACGGTTGTTACAGGAAACTGCATGATCTACACTTTTATCTTACCGTTTAGCTGAGAAGTGCAAGAAATCAATTTATGTGAACTCTGAGTTTGAATGCAATTTTTTTTTTGGCAGGTATGAGATCGATAAGAACTTTTCACACTTCATTTATAGTGGTATTCGCAACATACGGACCAATTTTCCACTTTATGCGAATTATTGCATCCTTGAATATTTAGCTTGACCAGGCTAATAGGAAACAAATAAGAAAGTCTAAGTTCGGGCGGAGCCAAACATTAAATACCCGGCGCAGATATTAAATATATGTTTTTTCACCTTTCCGAAACCTTCCGCTAGATGGTAAGCCGGGGTGTATCAATTTTAAGTAAATTAGCGTCCTTAAATTTCGAAATATTGCAGTTTCAAGCATTTCTGAAATTTACCGTTATATGAACAGCGGCCGTAATTTCAGTCCCATTTCAATAATTTTCAATGTTTTGCTTTTATGTGGCAAGCACAATAAAAATACCGAGTTTGGCACAAATTGGTAGAACAGTTACCGATATACATATATGTGATCATAAGTGGGCGGTGCCACGCCCATTTTCCAAAATTTTACTATAAACCTATTTCTTGGTAAAGAATTGTTGCAAGTATACATTTTGAATAAATTAGCTTTAATATTTACTGATATATCGAAGATTTTGTATTTCTCTAAATTACCGTTATATGGGCTGTGGGCGTCCGATTTTTTAAATTTTCGGCCATTTAGTATGCTGTACCATGGCCAACAACTGTGCCAAGTTTGGAAGAAATTGGTGCAGCGGTTACCAAGATATACACATGTAACCATAAGTGGGCGTGGCTACGCCCATTTTCCAAAAATTTACAATATTCTCATTTTTCGTCTAAATATTGTTGTAAAATTTTGAGTGAATAATCTTCAGTAGTTACTAAAATATCGCAGTTTTCGTATTTTTGAAAATTACCGTTATATGGGAAGTGGGCGTGGTTACAGTCCGCCCATTTTCAATACCGACCTACCTTGGATTAAAAACATACCAAATTTCGTTGAGATATCTCAATTTTTGCTCGAGTTATCGTGTACACGGACGGACGGACAGACAGACATGGCTTAATCGACTTCTCTATTCATTCTGAGCATTTATGTATACATTTGTCTATATCTAACTCGATTTGTTTTGGCTGTTACAAACAACCATTATGTGAACAAAATTAGTATACCCTTGTGCCCAAGTGCGCTCGGGTACAAAAATGGAATGATTAATTAATTTGTCAGAATCTATTAGTCATAGCGGAACATGTTTTATGGAGAATTTTATTAGCTTTAATTTTCCGTATTCCATATTAAGAGTGTTAAATTAGTTCGTACGATATACTGGATTAAGTGGAACCAATTTGTGTTTTAGCTGAATAACGGTAAATTGAAAATATTTCGAAAACTTATCCATATAATAAAAAAATAACTAGATTTTCGGGATCAACGAGCGATTCTATATATGAATTGGATAGTGGCATCTATTGAACATTTTTGCTGTAAAGCAGTGTAATTAGACAACAAAAAAAAATCGCTTGCAGTAACTTCAACGTGGTGAACCATTGAAAAGGTATTTTTCTGTGTATGAGAAGGGTTTTTATGGTCCAAAATTGTTTGAAAACTGCGGCCATAATCGCAGTTTATAAATTTCCCAATTTGTTTACAGTTGTTGTTGCAAGCTGTTCAATTAGAGTTGTTTTAGCATTTTATTTAACTTCGTATTTGAACTGCAATTTTATAATAGTGATAAATGAAGAAATAAATGATAACGATTAAGACCACAAATTAAGTCAAAATTGAAGATAAAGACAAACATTAAAATTGTGACAAGTAAATTTTAGCAAAAAAAAGACTTCAATTCTCATATAAAAAAATATATATATATATACATATATATATGGCTCATGATCCACTGATCGGATCTTAACGAGATTAGAATGGGACCACCTCTGAGACATCACCTTTCCGGTGCAAGAATTACCGAAATCGGTTGTCGTGGTCCAAAGTTATGCGGTAACATACATAAATAAAAAATATTCCGACGAACTAATAACCTCCTCATTTTTCTTTATACATAAGAATAAAGGTAACTGATGTGAAGTGTAAGATGATTTATTGAAATTTTTCGATAGAAATCGAAATAAATTCCGTCATAAAAATTTGGTTGCAGATAGCTTTCAAAAAATATTCAGCTATCAAAGTTAATCGAGTCATCGAAATTTATAGAGGTTTTCAAAGTTTATTGAGTCATCGATTAATATTGAGAAATATGTTTATATTTTTGAGTTATCGAGATTTATCGAAATTATGCCCTTGGAAGGCACAGTAGGCGAAATTTAGGTTTTTTGAAATGACAAACTGAAATGTACCGGGTAAATTTAAAAACCTGTAAAGATATAGTCACTGTTTCCACTAAGCTAACTCCTTACGAGTAGTAGGCATGCTACACGAATGGCTAATGATGCTCCTTCGATTCGTCCATCCTTGGTGGACAACAGCAAGTCCCTCCGCGTAGACAATGGAAAGAAAACTACCATCGTATCGGCGCCTCCAAACTATACCATACTAAGTCACCTTAGACATATGATGTTATTTTTTTTAACAGAAGATATCTTGATCTTTATTTAATAATCCAGAAGTTATTTTAGAAGTTACTTAATTTTGTAAGTCTATAATAAAGCACAGAAAAATTGAATACAATTCAAAACAACCTCAATCCCGCGTCCTTGAAGTACTCATCCCATACCTTACATTTTTCCAATTCAGGCCAATCGATGAACGTTATCTCGTTACTAATATTTAAACATTTTCGTTCGTCATTTGATGCCAGTGGCTCCCAAACTATGGGTTTAATCTTATCAACATTGGGATCAGATTTAGCAGCAAATGCAGTAAGTAAATCCATCATTAGTACAATGGTGTTGAACTCTTCAGAATCGAGTGCCAACTTAAAAGACTGCGGTATATAAAAAACATAGGCAAGTTCATCCACATGAACAGCACCACGCACTTCACGTCCACAACACTTGATGCGATACAAATTAAAATCCGGTGAATCGAAGTCGAAGCGGTATAGATATGTGGACGCCTGCACGCGACCGAGGCGTGCACTCATAAAGCAATGCATTGGATGATACATGAAATCGTGCGACACCATCTGTAATGATGAATGTAAGGTAAGAATGATAATCTATCTTCAATAGAGACTACTTACGCGCATAATATCCATAACATTTTCCAAATTCACCTCCTTCTCTCCCATATGCAACTTTATGAGTTTCCTTGCCAATTGCTGTTGCGTCGCCAAATCACACGAGGTTGCAATCTCATACGAGAATAATTTTTCCGGATGCAATTTCAAGATCTCATATAGGTTTGGATATGTTGTGAAGAACTTGTAGCGCGCTAGAGATTCAAAGGAAGTCGCCCCCAACATTAACGGTTTACTATGAAACCAAGCTTTCTCATCTGCAATTACTTCAAATGGGTCTTTGGTTATTATAGCATCCGATACGCTGGCGTTTTCTTTGACGGGGAAGAAGGCAGGCGCCATATTTGGGTCCCTTCCCTCTTCTGCTAGAAAATTCGGCATACAGAGCTTTTCCGCCTCAAGTGAGCTTAGATAATTTAAAATATCTTTGTTATCTTCTGCGCCCTCATAGCCCACACGCTTAGCGAAATTAAGGTGGACATTAGGAATTTCGCGTATTTGCAGAAATACGCCAGACATAAGAATCGCTTTGTGAAAGAGGCCCTCGCATTTTGGTGTCATCGTCAGCATGTGTGTGGCGAAACTTCCTGAGCTGTTGCCGAAGAGAGTAACGTTGTTGGGGTCACCATTGAAATTGATGTAATTTTTTTTGAGCCACTTCAGCGCCATTACAATATCCTTGAGGCCAGCATTGCCAGGAACCTGTAGCTCTGGTTCGGGAAGACTGAGGAAACCTGGGAAAAATTATTAAGTGGTTTTTTGTTAAAGGCAGAATTTTTATTTGTTTTCTCAATCAGCTCAGGGTGATGGGACAATGTTACCTTATACCATGTCCCCAGCGGAGCTAACCACGTAGTTATGGCTGTTGAGTTGGTTATCCCGATAACCCACTTCATTTAGCGTAGTTTCGCCATATAAAAATGACAGCACTTAACCATTTCACTGAGATGGTTAAAAGCTAACCAACTCGAAACCACGTCGAAAGTCTGATACAACCCTGTGTTTTCCCGCCATCTGTGGGTCATTAGCTTTACAATGTAAAAACTTGGTTCCTTACTAGTGTTTGGACTTTACTAAGATCAGATTGAAAAAATTTGAAATCTTCTCCTCTACTCCGCTTGACTTCAAATGTATTCCGTTTTTTTTTTTTCATTCATGTTATGCCCCTCTTGGGGCCGTTTTTTGAGTGTTCACCACCGGTTTCAGTAAAAAAATTGAAAGTTAGCCAAATCTCACTGTTAAAAAGTAACTCTTCCATAGCAATGCGTCAATAAAGTAACTTCGTTATTTTTTTATGTATGGCTGTAGAAATTGGCGGATGCAGAACTATACTTAGGTTGTTAAAAAATATATGTAGAATAAAATTTATATAAAGTAGAAAAGGTTTAGATCCTAGTGCTCACGTTCTACTTTATAGAAAATTCTAAATATTACCTAAATATGTAACATATTATCCTTACATTGCCTTGCGTTCTTATTTTTGCATGAATTGAAAATAGTTAAGTCAAACAATCAATGTCAGAAACGAAAATAAAAAATTCAAACTAGTACGGAAAATTTGTTTTTGCTCAGATTTTTAGCCTTGAATCGAGTTGGGACGTCCGAACACTGTTCTCTACATTTGTACTGCTTTATAAACCTCAAACCGCAGTGTGGACAGCAACAGTTAGTGATGTGGTTAAGTTCGATTTGAGATGGTCAACTTTTTGGTGGGGACATGTTATTAGGGATTCGGACAGGGTTAAGTGGCTTAGAATAACCGATTTTCATCTACAAAATTGTCATTTTACTACAATTTTTTTTTCAATAAATCAATCGTTTTTCTGCTATTAATTTTACGCTTTAGATCATCGAAAATATAGTTGCCAAGACATTTTGCCCTCAGTTTTGCCAGTGTTGCCATGTCCGGTAAACACTCCAGTTATTATTGGGATGTCTTACATCCTCAGATTAAGTAAAAACGTTGCTCATTTATGACTGGCCTAGAGAATTTGGGTGTCACTTTCCATCTTTCATTGTTAATTTCTTTGAATTTTTTCATTCAATATAAGTTTAGATATTTGAAGGAGGTTACCTGGTGTATCGCTTGTTCAAATTTTGATCTGAACGTGTTCAATGTCTACTCTTTCCTTGAAGAGAGACTGGTCATGAACTAAGTGTTGATAGTGCGAGTGAGTGAATGTAGTTGGTTGGAGGAAATCCAATAAGGTGTGATAAAATTCTACAGTGACCGATAAGGGATCTCATTTACCCCCTCTCCATCCCCTATACAAAACCAGTATGCACATTTAAAAAATACTCTCCGAGTATGTCCGCGTGCTTCGCTAGAGAAATGCGACCGGTCAGCAAACCTACAGCCAAGAAGTTTATTAATGTTACAGTTTTGTAATTGTTTTCTCCTTACGCCTGCTTCTTATAAGAAAAATACTTGTTTATTGAGCCACGACAATGAAAGCGGAAGGGAACTGGCTTCCTTCCAAGCCAGTTCTCAGCTTCCGAGTTATATGACGCACAATTCAGAGCATTTGGAGGCGACTGACTACTTAGGAAATACAGTGATCCAGTATGCGGAATGACTTTTATACTCTCAGTTGTTTCAAATATACTCCACGTTTGACTTTGTTTTTCAATTTGAATCGGTCAGTGTAGAACGCTTGCAAGACGAAGAATCTCCTGTTTTTAGACAAACAGGGCATATGTAAGTGTCTCGGCACCCACGTCTCTGTTGACGGTTCCACGTTCGAAAAGGTTAGACGACTTCGTTTAGTTAGGAACCAGCATTAAAACGAAATATAGTGTCAACCTTGAAATCTTACAGAGAATCCTCTCTCAATGTAAAAAATCACGCGGAAGCATTGTCTAGAAAAACATCTGAGAGAAAGGTTTACGGGCCTTCTGCTTTTGTTAACTAACACGAGCAGGGTGTTCCAGGGTCCAAGATATTTTTAGTGAATATTATCTATAATATTTACACATATGTACATCTACATACTCACCCAGCGCTCCCAAACGATAGCCCATAGTCACGAGTATAACATCCTTCATCATAAAATAGTCTGGTCCCCAAGCCAGACGAGATGCACTGCCTGTTGCGAAACTACCACCATGTATGTAGACCATAACCGGAAGAGGTTTTTCGGATTTTAGCTATAGAATATATGAAGGTAGTTATTTATAAAATATTACTATCTTTTACCTTTTTTGCATAGATATTCAAGTACAAGCAATCCTCAGAGCCTTCAACGCGATCAGTATAGCGATTGTATTGGATACATTTGGGTGCCACTACTGTGCAATCGCGAACATCCGGCCATGGTTCAACTGGTTGTGGCGACTTAAAACGCAAATCTCCCAATGGTGGCTTGCCATATGGTATGCCATCGAAGCAATAATATTTATCACCATAGACTGTTTCTCGCAATTGTCCACGCACCAGACCGTGAGTGGTGGAAATGATAGGCTGTTCAACATTTTTTGCAAACCTGAGAGATATTTAAGGGTTAAGATTCTAACTAAATAAGATACAAAATACTGTTTGCCGCTTTAAATGAAAGTAATCTTTCAGGCACAGTTTCAGCTGTGTTGATAACCGTTTTTTTTTTTTAAGTATCAAGTTATCGCACTTTTTACGAGCAATGTACGAGTATGTATATTAAGATGGCCCGAAAGCCAAGTAAGTTCGGAATTCTAATGCTCTTACCCGCTAGCATTGTTCTATAATGAACAAAATTATACCCTTGGTGTTTTTTATTTTGAAATCAATAAATGATTAGAGGTCGCTCAAAGTTTTCCAGGTACTTTATTTGGGGAAGAGAAATTTTTCGTAGAAATGGTATAGAATTCTTGGAAAGCAATATTTTTCGTTTGGTGAGCTTTGTTTTTGTTTAGGAGACTTCCAGTAATAATACCCGTTAATTGTTTAATTTTTTTTTTATATTAACTTTTTTTTTTTAACTCTTTTTTATAGGTTCCCTAAAAACCCCAAAAATTCAATTGGGTGTTCCAAGCACTTCAAAATTTGCAGGTTTTACAGTATTTACAGGAAAAGCTGTTTTCGCTATTAACCCTTCGAGAGCGCGCCGCGGCATATTAGCCGCAAAAATTGTTTTCCCTAGGAGACAAAAGGTATGTGCATGTAGGTATTTCGGCTTTTGAGTGACTGATGGCGCAATATTTATAACCTAATTGCAGCATATGTATGTAAATATGCAGTTAATGTAGATCTGTTCTTCTTTTAGTAATCTACATATATTTGTATGTATGTATGTATGTATGTACAAATGATATGATATTTTTTCAAAAAGAGTTGCCACCTGATAAAAAAAATTCAAATTATTTTTAAGTTGAATCAGTTGTTACACTATGAGTATCGATCGAAATGGTTTTGAAAAGGCTTTATTTCTTAATTATATGTAGGAGGGTTGCCACCTGTTTCAAAAAGCAAGTTCGGCTTAAATAAAGGCAGAAAATTTAAATGTATATCCTGATATGGATGTCATACGACAGAATTTGTGGTTTGAAAATATTTTGCAAAGGCTTGCCACCTTGTTACAAAGTTAGGTTTAATATAATGTGTATATAAATTAAAATTGCTTTGAAGAAACTTTATTTACAAACTGGATGTATGAGTGTTGCCACCTGATTTTATAATTAAATTAAAATTGAATTAAGAGATTAGATTATTTAAATATGTATCACAATACAAGTGTCTGACGAAAAAGGTTTAACGAGGTTTTGGTTTAGAAAATAATTTGAACATGATTCCCATCGGTTTAAAAAGTTGAATTAAATTAAATCATATTGAATATTGAAATATTGGCGTCAAACAAAGGAGTATTAATAAAAATTTAGTTTCGACATTTATAATATGAAAGAGGGTTTCCACCTGTGTAAAAATTAACAAATTATTTACTAAGTCAAAATAATTATTAAAGTATGGGTAAAAATTTAAATGGGTTGAAAATGTATTTTTATACCCGAGCGCACTTGTGCACAAGGGTATTATAACTTTGTTCACATAACGGTTGTTTGTAACAGGCAAAACGAATCGAGATAGATATAGACAAATGTATACATAAATGATCAGAATGAAAAGAGAAATCGATTAAGCGGTGACTGTCTGTCCGTCCGTCCGTCCGTCCGTCCGTCCGTCCGTCCGTCCGTCCGTCCGTCTGTGCACACGATAACTCGAGTAAAAATTGAGATATCTTAACGAAACTTGGTACGTGAACTTCTTTTGGGCGTGGGACGGATGGTATTGAAAATGGGCGAAATCGGATAATAACCACGCCTACCTCCCATATAACGGTAATTTTCAGAAAAACGAAAACTGCGCTATTTTAGTAACTACTGAAGATAATTCACTCAAAATTTATATTTGCAATGAGTTTTAGACGAAAAATAAGAATATTACAAAATTTTGGCAAATGGGCGTAGCCACGCCCACTTATGGTTACATGTGTATATCTTGGTAACCGCTACACCAATTTCTTCCAAACTTGGCATAGTTGTTGGTCCTGGTACAGCATACCAAATGGCCGAAAATTTCTAAAATCGGACAATAACCACGCCCACATCCCATATAACGGTAATTTCGAGAAATACAAAATCTTCGATAAATCAGTAAATATTGAAGCTAATTTATTCAAAATTGATGATTGCAACAATTCTTTACCAAGAAATACGTTTATGACAAAATTTTGGAAAATGGGCGTAGCACCGCCCACTTGTGATCACATATATGTATCTCGCTAACCGTTCTAGCAATTTGTACCAAGCTCGGTATGGTTATTGTGCTTGCCACATAAAAGCAAACCGTTGAAAATTGTTGAAATCGGAATAAAATTGAGGCCGCTTTTCATATAACGGTAAATTTCAGATATGCTTGAAACTGCAATATTTCGAAATTTAAGGACGGTAATTTACTTAAAATGTATACACCCCGGCTTATCATGTAGCGGTAGCTTTCGGAAAGGTGGAAAACATATATTTAATACTTGCGCCGGGTATTTAATGTTCGGCTCCGCCCGAACTTAGACTTTCTTACTTGTTTTTTTTAACTTTATTTAAGGGTGTTGCCATATGTTTTAAAAACTAATTTAAAACTGAATTAAGGGAATTATATACACAATTTAAATGTGTATCACAATATGTGTGTAAGTCGAAAAAGGTTTAGCAAGACTTTGGTTTTAAAATATTTTGAAAAGGGTTGCCACCTGTTTTAAAATTATAAAATATATAGGTATATGAATTATTTAAACATGACGTGAAACGAAGGTGGTAAGATATCCTTAGTTTGAATATGAATAATATTAAGAACGGTTGTCACCTGTTAAAGGAGGTAACTCAAATTATTTACTAAGTTAAATCAATTACTAAAAATGTGGGTATCAAATGAAATCGGTTTAAAAAGGCTTTATTTCAGAAATGTAATTAGGAGCGTTGTCACGTATTTAAAAAATATAGTTTAATTTAATTCAGCAGGTACATAAAATATGTAGGTATCACAATATCAGACGCAAGCGATTTGTTTACTTTTTAACTATATTTAGGAGGTTTTCCAGCTGATTTAGAGGTCTTAGATAACTTATGCACAAATCCGAAGTACTTTGTCATGTGTAATTTAAAAATTATACTTTGCGTAAACAATATTTTAACTATTATGATACATATATGTATATTTTCTTAGGTTTTTGAGAAAAGAGGATGTTTTCCAACTTATATAGATGCGAACCAGGCACGCAACAGCAAATGAAACCGGGATTGACAAACCAAAAAATTTGCTGTTTTAATTGTAACAAAAATTTTGGCAGACAACATTGCCAGCATATTTCACAATGTGTAGAATGTACCAACACCACTGTTGTTGATGACGGATAAAAATTTAAAAAACAAATGCTTATAATAAGTTTCAGTATAAACACATATTATTCAAATGTTTTATTTGAATGGTTTTTCGACATAAATAAAAAAAATGCAGTCAACCTTTGAGATGCACATTGCGGCTAAATTGACGCGGCGCATCCTCTCGTGTAACTTTCAAAGCGCACCCTCGGAAGGGTTAATAAACCTTATTTAAGGTGTCGTACGGAAACAGCTTCTTGTAAATTCCTATGAACTCCTGCAAATCGTGAAGCATCTGGAACAGGTGTGTTTCAAGACGCGCCGCATACGATTTTTGTTGGAAAAGCTACTAGGTACTGTACGTAGTAGCGCTAAGCATTTTCAATTCAACTTCTTCGTTATCAATAAATCATCAAAATTTTAATGAAAATAGCCTTTACGAATAGGTAAAATCGTCTGAAAATTATCACTTGCACTTTTAACGTAGTAAGTCGCATCTGTTTATTTACTTACCCTGCACCCATTATGAATGTAACTGCTCCAATTTCCGATGAATATTAAAAAAAGTCGCGCTTCTACACACTTAACTTTTAATTTAAAGAATAAATTTAGGTACTAGTAAAGAACTGATTGCCAAATAAGAATGGTGATTCTAGCACAAAAACCGTCAGATTAGTTGTGAAGAGATAAGATTTTTACATATCTTAAAAAATATGCTAATTAAAAATGTCTGTTTGAGGATTATAAAATTTGGGTGTTTAGCAAGTTCGGCACACATACACAATACGTAGATCTTTGCACTTGAACATTCTGTTATCGAAAACAAAAGAGATAGTGCGTGGATGTGAGTTAATGACTCGTTAAGTTTTCTTCAGATTAGCAACAACTATCATCAACTAGAAGAATAAAGTATTTACATAATATGAGTACTTATACGGATATGTTGAACTCAAATGCGAATTAGCTTTTGTGCTGTTTCGTTACATAATCCGCCACTTCGTATGCAAATGTGGTTAAAGCGCTGACACGTGCCAATTGTTGAGAAGCCAAGGAAATATCAGACAGTAAATTTCTCTAGGTGAACTTAAACCAAAGAAGGTAAGGCTCATCTATAAGCCGAATGTAAGCCTTCAATAGACTCGAATATGTGGGTGGTCCGAACCGATGACGAAAAGCTTAATTTTTTGTGAGGAAAAAGCCGTTCGATCAATCGCGATGAAAATGGTATTACATTCGCACGAAAAATGCTGGGCTAAGAAAGAGGAAGCTTCGTAAACGTGGCAAACCAAAGACTGACAATCAGCCCAATTCTAAAACACCCCCCAAGTTTTCTCTCTACGGTTAAGTTTCTACCGAGAGTAAATTCTTTAAATATAAACTCTTCGGGAAATCATTTTTTTTGCTGAAATTGTGAGACAATTGTCAAATCCCATTTTCCAAAAATTTACCATATTCTTATTTTTCGTCTAAAAATCGTTGTAAATATAAATTTTTAGTGAATAATCTTCAGTAGTTATTAAAATATCGCAGTTTTCGTATTTCCGAAAATTACCGTTATTTGGGAAGTGGGCGTGGTTACAGTCCGATTTCGCCCATTTTCAATACCAACCTACCTTGGATTAACGGAAACCTACATACCAAATTTCGTTGAGATATCTCAATTTTTGCTCGAGTTATCGTGTACACGGACGGACGGACAGACGGACAGACAGACATGGCTTAATCGACTTCTCTATTCATTTTGAGCCTTTATGTATACATTTGTCTATATCTATTTCGATTCCTTTTGGCTGTTACAAACAACCGTTATGTGAACAACATTAATATACCCTTGTGCACAAGTGCGCTCGGGTATACAAATTTTAAACATATTGTCTAAATGGAGTAGCTATAAAAAAATTGTAGTCACACGCATTAAAATGTACTAAAATTAGGTTGACAAATGGTAATTTATGGTAGAAAAAAACTGTGATACCATTTTGAAAATTAATATTTTTTTTAATTGAAAAATCAAAAGATTTCCCCATAAAACTTCAAAATAGCCTTTCCTTGACCAAAAAAATATAAAATTTTATACGAGGCATTTTTTATTTCCTAAAATTGTATATTACTTTTTATGAATTTACTTTTTAATGTTTCCTGCTATTTTTCTAGGTATTCATCGCTATTTTTATGATAGATTTATAAATTTTGCTTTTTTATTTCCGAACATAAAATGCTCTATCTACGCTCTTTTACAAACTAATAATAATTCGCTTTAATCTTTTTCGTCTAGTTCTTTCATGTCTCATTATGTCATTTTCCAACTTCAGTTTATCCGGTTCCTGCTTTCTTAGCCAATTATTTAACTATATTTGGAAATTTATTGTTAACTCGTAAGTTTCCTTTTTACGCTTACATTGCAGTGCTTCCGCAAGGTTGACTTTCTAAACCCGCTTAAGTGACCTTTTCGTAAATCGTAGACCGTGGCCATTAAGCATACCCAAAAACTTGTATTTAAATAACCTTCCGCTGAGACACGCTTACTTTTATGATGGTAGCTCTTATGCGATATTTTTATTTTATTTTTTTTTATTTTTTTTGCAACTAAAAAGATAATCAAATTGAGGGAAAATAAATTTCAAATGATGGGTAATAAAGTAAATCGAATAATTTGTGCAAATTCGCTGGTATCTAAGTTTGTGTACACAAGCATGTAAGTACGTAAAGAGTGGCCCTACAAAAAATTGTGCGACCAGTCTCTAGTGAAATTGGAACCAGATTAGTTTGCCTGTGGATAAATTGGGCATCAATAAGTTTCGACTTATCTGTAATGGAAAGTATAAGCGACTTATTCGTTTCGTTAACGAATCATCTCTTGCGGTTAAAATTGGAGATTAACCAGTTCACGAGTCATTTATAAAGTGTATAATTAAAGATTCAAGGAGATGTACTCATTCAAGCAACGAAATTTCAAAAGCAACTTCAGCACAATCGAGAGTGTATTCGCCCAGCTCCACGGTTCGAAGCTCTCTGGCTTGATTCTCGTTAAATGGTAATTTTCATTTTGAAAAAATGGAACTAGTCACGTTTTATACCTACTCAGGTAAAAAAGGGTACATTAATTATCTTCATATGACGCGCTCACACAAAAGCGAACAGCTCGTATAAAGAGACAAAGCGGAATTAGTCGCATATTTCCTGGACTAGTCATATTTTTTGTGGGATATATGTACATATGTATAATATACATACATATGAATGCACATACATATACATACATATGCTACTTATTATTTGTGTCGTCTACGTGCACGTATGGACGTGTTCTCAATTTACAGTTCACTAGTTTTTCACTGATGCATGTTATTGAGAACCGCACACGCGCTCAACATCAGAAAGCTATTTGATTTCCTTTTTGTTTTTGTTGCTATCACATGTTCCGCTAATTGGCTTGACAACGGTGCAGTTTTTTTCTCAACCGACTCTATACTAACTACTGCCCTCTCCTTTTTTTGGTCATAGTACTCTCAATATAACTACATACATACAGATATGACCCTTAATATTCATTTTCATATTCAGTTAGTTTTGCTTCGATAGTTTTTTAGTGTCATTTATGTAAATAAATTTTGATAAATTATGATATCGCCAACATTCGCTCCTACATACCTATATGTATGTATATGAACATATGCACGACAGTGTGTGCATGGCATGCTAATGAGCCGACTATGTTTTCTAGTTGCTAAAATTGGTAAGCTTGCTGTTCAAATACCTAAATACATACATATGTACAGTCAGTCAATAAAGTTTAGGTACAGCGAATTTTTTACAATACGGGCAACTATTTTTTAAATATTTTATTTTTCGCAAATTTTTTATAAAAACCCCAAAAAGAAAATTTCAAAACCTTGTGCAAAATTAAAGAAAATTTTGCAAAATTTCATTCAAATATTGCACTTTTTATTTACGCTCTCCAGAAAAAATCTGAGTATGCAGTTTTTTAGCCTATTCAATTTTAGTATAATAAAGTGCAAGTATGAGGAAGCTAGGACTTACCATTGATTTTTAGGAAATTTTTTTGTTGAAGGTGTCGCACATTTTTTCCATATAAAAATATTATCAAACATTATTTTATATGGAGAAAATGAGCGACACCTTCAACAAAAAAAAATCCTAAAAATCAATGGTAAGTCCTAGCCACCACAAACTTGCACTTTGTTATACTGAAATTGAATGGGCTAAAAAACTGCATACCCAGCTTCTTTCTAGAGAGTGTAAATAAAAAGTGCTACATTTGAATGAAATTTTGCGGAATTTTCTTTAATTTTGCACAAGGTTCGGAACCCTTATTTTTGGGTTTTTTGTTGTAGAATTGACCATATTTTTTATAAAAAATTATCGAAAAATAAAATATTTAAAAAATAGTTGCCCGTATTGTAAAAAATTCGCTGTACCTAAACTTTATTGACTGACTGTATGTACGTATAACGCGTAAAATCTATTCTATGGCATGTCAATATGTATGTATTTTTGTATTTAAGTGTATGAGTTGCTACATACTATGTACATGTATGTAGGTTTTCATAACGTTGTTTCAAACGTTACTGCCACCCACAGTGCGTTACGCTTTTGCCCTTACCCAATAAACATTTTTGTTAAAACTCAATTTGAGGTGGTTTTGAGAATCAGTCCTTTTTTGCAAATCTCAAAACTTAGTTCTCAAATACATCTCAAATAACCGTTGATAGCGTACTCAAACTAAAAGGCACTTTTTTCTTATGGAATTTTCCTCTATTTTCAAGTTAAGTATTTCCTGACTTTTTCTAAAACGTGAGCATAGCGGTGCGATACGAAATCCAGTTACTCTCATTGAAATATTTGTATAGTGTTGCCAATGATGCATGTAAAAGAA